TGCCTTGATGCTAATTTTATTAAGATCATTTTAATGCAAAACAAAGGCAAGATACCAGTATTCTTAATTCAGAGTACCAGATTTCAGCATCTTCATTATTTAGAATGTCTATGGACCCATATTGGGCCCACAGATATTCTTTGAAATTCAACATGATGGATGGTTCCAGCCCAGCATGCTCTATGCTCTGCAGTCAGAAAAAAAGGCAAGTAACCCTTCCCAAACGCATACCAATAGGCAATGATAGGCAATATGGGAGGCGAGGGTTAGTTTGCATTTCTAGTAAATGAGCATTCTGTGACTTGTCATGCTCATTACTGCAGCTACTTTGTAAGAGTACAACACCACCAAATGTGCTTTAAATAATCTCACTCCAGCAAGTCACAGTGTTATTCTTAAAAAAAAAAAAAATCTGCAGAGTAAAGAAATGATAATTCTTAGCATAATGTAAGAACTGCAATTGTCTAACAATATTCCCCCTTCTCCAAAACAAAACAACACTTAAAAATAAACAATTAGGTTAGTGTGATACCACTATATAGGCCTAACAAAGAGGAGAATCAATTCAAGTGTCTCTGTGAAAAAGGTATTGCTATTATCAAGACCAACCTGGAGTAGGAAAACTGTAAAAGCTGTTGCATTCTGGATGCAGAAAGTGCACAGAAGCTCCCAGAATGTAGAATGATACACTTAGCAATGCTAAAATGGCACTACTTCCAGGGTTAATAATCTTTTAGCTGATGATTTGTATGCATTTATGAGCACTAGTGAATGACCTTCAAGAATACCTGTAAGACACTGAGAAGATGCATTAAGGAAACACGAGTCCTTTCTTTCCAGAAATACAGCTTTTCCGCATTACTGAATAGCAAATTAGGAAACAGAAGAGACTGAAATCTCAATTCAAAAATGTAGGACCAGCAGGTGTATTTGAGCAGACTCAAGTATTGATGTCCCTTCAAGCAGTCATATATGGAATCCTGTCCTACTAAACCACCCACATCCTATCCTTTCTTTCCAACATGTTTGCTTAAGGACTGCAAGCAAAGAGTTCTTTAAGTGAAATGCATACGGACCAATATTTCTGCTGCTCTTTGAAATAAAATTGTCAACAGCAACAGAATTCCATTGACCAGATGAAAGCTCCAGGAATCCCAAAATACTGTGCATACTTCAATGGCAGAAACTGTTTCAATAAAAGATTATCCCCCAATGAATTTTCCTGCTCCCAGCAGGCCCTATAATGTGTGCCAGACATGAAAACATAGGTTGTTCCATTACCCTAGATACATTATTCAAAGCGGCAAAATGAAACGATACAGCCACCACTGTAAGTGGAAATAACGCAAGAATGAATCCCTTACAAAGGAAATCTACTTCACCAGTGGTTTTACATAAACAGCTCTTGTTTATGAAGCCAGGTTTCATTACAGGCAGGAGAAATGTTATCTTTTTGTGGACAAGCTAAATTGAACTACTGTACAATAGGCCTACGTGACACAGCAATATTACAAAGTCAGTCAACAATTCTTGTTTATTCTTAATATACAAAACACTATCCAGTTCAGAGTTAATGAATGGCAAGGATGATGCTTATTCATTGAGGATGGCTTGGAGCAATAAGATTACTAAACCTCCATAATGCCATTGGTGCTTCAATACAGTCCCTTTTTTTCTGGACATCATGAAAAAGGTTAAAAGGGTAAGCCAAACTCAGTATCTGAATGTGTACATGGGAAATAGTAAACCTGGAAATATTTTAATTTAGGACTGCAATCTTATGCATGCTTACTTATTATTATTAAACCCCTAGAAAATGATCTTAATAGCATTAGATCCCAGAGAAAAGAAAAACTGAGACTCGTTATAAAAACAAGCTATTTGATCAGTTATTTTGTAAACTTCATTGTAGATTCAACATAGTTCCAAAGTCCTTAAGTCTATTCAGGCAAAGCAAACAATTTTGGGCCACTATTATCCCCAAACCCACAGCAAAACCTGCAACTTGGCTTTTCGCTATCCAAGCATTTCATTGTTCTAAGAATGGAAAGCCATGTAAGAACAGGATTTAAGTATAAATTTAAATAAGAGAAGCATGCAACAATATCTGCCCATAAATCTACTTTATCTACTGATAATTTGCAAACCAAAGTTGTTTGTTTAGGGTTTTTTTTAGGAGTGGGGGAGTTAACATCAAAGTTCCAAGGACATGAAACAATTATTCATTTACAATGCTTCATCAAGTAGCAATGTATACAGAGGATGGGGGAGAGGGCCATTGTATGCCAGTATTCACATATATTTGTCTTTGCAGAAAGGGAACTCTTTTGGATAAGTTTCTTGATATGATATTCCTGAGTCAGCTTATATAAAATCAAATTATAGGGCAATTAGAACAATTCATCAAAATTTGACCAAGGTGCATTGAAAAGATAGCAACAACAGAATAATCAATACATATAATTAATAACTGCACGCAGTATCCCATGCTGAACAAGTCTAACAAATGGGGAAAAGTGGGGAGAAATAAATGGGCTGTGCAGCAGAGATAAGACAAATATGCTTTGTTCTGCTTCCCAAGACTGCCTACTCACTGGAAGGATTATAGAGGACACGACCAATATATATGGACCGCACACATGAACATAAAACCGTATGGCACTAGAGGAACTGTGTTTGAGAGCAAGGCTCTAAAAAGTAGCAGGAATTAATGACTTATGATAGGATGCCAAGCAAACAATAAATCTTTAAACATGATAGTAAGGAAATAGAAGCACTTCAGATGATTTAAAGAATAACACACATCATGGAAGAGAAAAATTGAACTACTTCATAAGGCAGGCCAAAAGACACTATATACATACATACATACATACATACATACATACATACATACATACACACACACACACACACACACACACATACATGAATACATACATACATACATACATGAATACATACATACAGTACATACATACAGACAACCTTTAAGTTAAATGACTGTAGATGGAAGCAATTTGTGCACGAATTGTGGACAACTAGAATATAACAGGGTGGAATGTTTTTAGCTGGATTTTTTTATCTACACCCGAAACCCTTGGCAATCCAGGAAAAAAAAAAAACCATAATGAGAAGATGAAAGGTGTTTTAGGAATTAATGTGGCTACGAGAAAAAGATATGTCTCTAGGACAGGAATAAAGGATGCTTAAGAAGATTAATGCCATCTAAAAGGAAAATGGGGTGGGGGGAGAAGACATGGGGAGAATCCAGCAGGCATGTAGGGTAAATGCACGAATGATCAACAGGACAACCTAAAAGAAAAGTTACTTAGCTAAAAAGCACAGGTATAAAATAACTATGTACAAACAAGAATTCTGTGCATTTCTATGAATTAGGCCTGGCATTCATTAACTGGATAGGAATGGATAATACAGAAGAGCTATTACAATCAGCAAACATGTACAAAGACAGCAGCCAATATTACCTCCACCCCCGCCCCCAGAAAAAAGTAAAACAAAAGTCTATAAAAGATATAAAGGAATCTGGCAAGAGGCCATTCTTAGTGTTTCTTCTATATGTGCCATAATGCAGAAAAATAAGGATAGCTTTGAGAATGAAAAGGGTTAACACCGTCAATGGTTAACAATGGAAAGCTATATTGTTGACAAAGACCCAGATTTGGAGAAATAAGATTCATATCTTATTCATGTACACATGCGTGAAATCAAATGAAGGGAACTTGTTAAAATGTGCGAAATGAAGTAGACAAGAGGTAGCATTTCACATCTAAAGTAAAAACAAAAACAAAAAAACCTTCAGCTACTCATTTTCCTGAAAGCTCTTAAATGGGACCCTGAACTTCTGCCCCTTATTCTGGGTGAATGGAGACTGACTGTAATGGACATACATTCCACACATTCTCAGGATCCCTGCCCGCTACAGTAAGATTGATGAGGTACACACTAAACCTCTGAGAGAAAATGAGTTAAAAATCTCAGGGAAATCCTGAGATTTTATATGAGGAAAGCCAGTTCCAGAGTGTCTAAAGCAGGAAAGAAGAGTTCCAGAAGAAGGCAATTTGTGCATGAATTGTGGATGACTAGAATATATGGAAAAGAAAGGGCTGTGGGGTCAATGAGCGCAATATAGAGAAAGGCAGGCCACGTATATGGGATTGATACAATTCCTTCTGCCTTCATTCCTTTCAAAGGCTTAGCAGCTGCATGAGACACAGAAATTCCATAGGTGCAACTCCCCCCCCCCCTTTCTTCCACAAGCACATGAAGAGGAATGAGGGGGCCTTCCTAATGTGTGTCTCACAAATGGGCAAAAAGAGAGGAAACAGGCACCAACTGCACTGAACACCGAGTCTCAGGACTAAGTTGCACGCTGAGAACAGAGGGCAGAGCAAACGCAGAGGAGGGGGTGGAGGGAGAATGAGAATGGAACAGGGAGCTAGGTAAGTAGAGAAACAGTTCAACATTTGATTCTGAGCTTGATGACAAAAGCAGCCAGCAGTGAGAGTGAGTCACAACAGTGCAGTAAATGCGAAGCAAATGGCAAGCTAAGGCTTTGGCTGGAAGAGTCAGGGGCCAGCTGGGCCATGGGCTAACTGTATCTTTCCCTCAGCCATCAGCCTGCTGAGCAAAGTAGTTGGCATAAGTCAGCTATGGAAACTGCCAAGCTTGGAGAGGTTCAACAAGAAGCTCCTGGCATCGGGTGACTTGTGAAGTACAGGTAGTACTCAGAGTATCAGATTAGCAAAGGGAACTCCAAAGGGAACACTCTACCCAACACCCAGGCTCAGAGAAGCCTGAAGCTCACTGGCTGACCTTGGGCTTTACTGCTGCCTCTAGCCCACCTAACAAGGTTGTAGTGAAGAAACATAGAGGTCCGCAGGTGGGGAGAACTATAAATAAGACATGGAAAAGACATGGACGTGATGGGGGGGGGGGGAGAGATCACTGCGCGAAGGAGCCTCCCCTTCCCGTCTCACCTGGGAGGTTTGACCGCGGCGCTCTCTCGCTTGTCCAGGACGCCGGGCACGCAGTTGGTGAGCTCGGTCCAGTCGGCGTGAAGCCCGCAGCTCCAGCCCGTGGAGAAGCGCGAGAAGAGCCAGGTCTCCCGGCGGTTGGGCCGGTAGCAGGTGCATTTCTTCTGCCCGGGCCGGCAGTCGCAGGGGACCTCGAGGCGCACGTTTTGCACCAGGTGGCGGCCGAAGGTGGTGCCGCCCGTCTTCTGGATGTGCAGGAAGACAATCACGTCGTCGCCCTTCATGTCGAAGGCCAGCTGGCGCTCCAACTCCCGCACGGGGAAGTAGTACTTCTTGACGTAGTGCGGGTCCGGAGTGGGGAAGAGGTCCAGTTCATCCTGGTACGAGCGGCCGCTCGGCGAGCCCAGACTCAGCCCCGGCCCCACATACTGGTACAGGATGAGCATGAAACACACCGACCCCGCCACGATCAGCAGGAACTTGCTGTTCCTTTCAACCATGGTCCTTCCAGCGCGCTTCATATGCCACCATCTCCCGGCAATGGGGAGGCAGCGGCGGCGGCGGCGGCTGTTCCTGGAGGGGTTGGCAGCGGCGCCGAAATACGCTCCTCTTGTCTCGGCTTTGCTTCACGCGCCAGCACCGACAACCCAACCGGCGCCTCCCTTTGCAAGAAGCGGGGATTCCCTGCCCCTCTCCTTTTTTTCCTCTTCTCCTTCAGTCAGATCGGCAAAAGGGGGAGGCGAAGACGGGGGAGGGGGGCGCGTACAGCGTGGTTCCAAATGACCCCCTCCCCCGGTTCCGCCTCCCTCGCAGCCCCGTCCCGCCTCTGCCTACGGGACTTTGCTTCCCCTTTCTTCACTCCAGCTCCAATCAAACCAGCCGATCGGCTCACACGATCCGCAAAGCCCTCAGTCTAGCGCTGCCTCGCTCGCCGATGCACGCTAGTTCGACTCCTTCCTGCCTGGCTTCCTATTGCCAAGCCCCACCATGATCTGAGCCCAGCATGCACAGCGCCGCCTCCACTCACTTCTCTGAGCAGCTCCAAGCGCGCACTGGAGACGGGAGAGCAGTCGCGGCGGCGGCAGCAGCAGCAGCAAACACGGGCACGCCGCAAAGGCAGCAGTTCTGGAGGCTCCGAAGTTGCAAGCGCCCGCCCGTAGAAATTTTGGGCGTGCGCGCGCTGCTGCTGCGGCTGCGATGTTTTGGGGACTTCTCCACTTCCTCTTTTACAGAACCAAAGCCTACCAATGGGGAAGCGCGGTTACCGATCTTCACCTTCAAGAGCAATGATATCCCTTGAATTCAGAACTGACGATCTGATTTCGCTTCTCTCCCTCCGCTCCAGATCCAGGCGAAAGGAAGGGACCGCCTGTTCTTCAGTCGCGAAATCTATTTTGCTCGCTTTTCTAATTAAAGGAAGACCCACCCCGGGATCCAGGTTCTACAGTATTATCTTCTCGGGTTGTCCTCCTCCTCCTTCTCAAGAGCTTTTGAACAATTGCGCGATTCTTCAACAGGTGCTACTTTTCTCTGGCATGAAACTGAACGATGAATCAAAAGAGACCCGAAAGTCAATTACCGCAGTCATCTTTATCTGAAAATTTATATACCATTCTTCATTACAAACCCAGGAATTGGTTGACAATCCGATGCACAGTAATGCAATACAAAACTTTTAGTTCCTAAAAACAAAACAAAAAACCTGCAACATTTAGATAAGCAGTTTTACTTTAAAAGTTAGAATATTATCTTGAACAAAACAGATAATGATGTTTTAATACTGTTAAGGATTCTGAAAAGGTTTCTCTTGAAGGCTGTTTGGGAATGATCCATAAAGACACTTTCCTCTAATAATTATAATCAGCATTTTTATTTTTGTACTTATGAATGGCATGATTCGATCCAGAGATCTTTCACATACTTAACAAACGTCTTAAAAGGCTTGTTTTGCATTTTGCAGATGCCATCAAAATAAGTGATCAAATGAGAAAATTCAGAGCTCCATTATCCTTTGGACAGAATCCCACCACATTCATTGAGTTTACTTTGTAATAGAGATACAGTTGATTGCTGAATCAGACCCATATTGAATGGTGTGAAGATTCAAACTAGAATGGCTAGTCCAAAATTATTTTGTGTGAGATGAAAAGGGAAATCTTTTTCAAACCGTGTGCAAAAGCTGTAAATTATCCTGAGAATTATTCAGGATTTTCTTTCAGAGCAGCAGACTTTTCCCTGGAGGGCATAAATAAGACTATTGTGGCATCCATCTTCTCCAGTGGCTTGCTGCCTTTTCAGCCATTATCACCTTCGACAACTGCCTCATTCCAACTAATAGTAGGGCCACTTTTGGAATTTATCACTAAAAAATTAGCTTGTAATACTGCCTTCAGCTTAGTTAAAGAAGGCATATTTTCATTGCTTTAGGAATGTCTTTAAAGAAAGTGAAAGCAGAAAAAGAATGTTATGAGAAACAATTTCCCTCTTCCTTTGTCTCCCAAGTCTCTGCCTCATCCCATCAATCACAGTAATCTTTTCATTGTGATGTCACAAAGAGTGGTTCTTCTGATGTCACAAAGGCAGAATTATGAGAATGAAAAATGAATAGGGAATGCTATGTTTTGCAAGATGAGCAGCCATATAACTTTAATAAATATATAAATAAATAATAAAAATGTAGAACAACTAGAATCTCATAGTAAAATAAAGTTTGAGGAAAATGTATGGTACTTCTCTTAATATGCTACACATCATTGGGGGGAAGGAGTTTACATGCATGTGGCTGTCAGTGCATGGGTTTGTACTAGACTACTTTGTATAAAAATAGCCTTTGGTATTATTGTTGTTAAAGGCTGGAGAAGAAAGGTCTGTTTGGAGATTTCAACAACTTCCCTACTTATTTGTTTTTTTACAAGCTTCCCTCTACAAGAGGGTTGCTGCTATGTTTGGAATTAGTGTGCAGTCCTGGGGAAATGGATGAGATTCCCCAATAGTTTTGCATCCTGTAATGCCACTGTGAAGCCCTCCAAACTGTTATACAGAATGAATGGCATTTGACATCCTTCCCAGAGAAGGCCATCTTGGCTAGGAGTGCTGGGAATTTCAGGCAGCAGGTTTAGCAATGTTCTAAGAGGAAAAGATCCATGGATGCCAAATCATTTTTTTATGCCTATTATTACCAACACTGGAGACAGCCAAGTGTTTTTAATATTATTTTCCTATTGGGGGTTTATAGATGGCAACATCTGTAGCATTCTATCATATAAAAAGACTTGGTTTCAACACGTTCTAGCAAGTCCATATCGGAGTGGGGGCTGGGGAGAGAATGTCACGCCTCATCCTCTTCATGCATGAACTCCCCACAGTCTCCTATATGAGAGTGTCCTTGGCAAAAATAGGGATAAAGGTTCAATATAACCGTCAGGCAGAAAAGAGAGGCAGAAAATGTATGAAAGTTTACATGTCGGTCAAAAACTGTAATAAAAATTTACCTACTTATCTATCTACAAAAGCTTGGTCTCCCTCTCTCCTTCCTTCACCCTCCCCCTCTCCCTCTCTGGCTAAAAATTGCTCTCTGTTTATATAATGGCTTGAAGGAAAATATAATAACAATGTCAAACATTTTCTATTAGTACATAGGCAACTGGTAGGTTTCCTATTCAGCTTTCCTAATCATTAAATATAAAGCAGGATTGTATGACCTGAGATTCCAGGGCCACATGTATCCCCCCATCCCACCCCAAGCCTCGGATACACATCAGGGGTGGGTTTCTACCAGTTCGCACCTATTCACTAGAACCGGTTGTTAACACTCTAAGCAGTTCGGAGAGCCGGTTGTTAGAAGAAATTACTGGCCTAATCCTGCAAGGAAGGCAGGAAGGAAACATTCTGGGGTTGCTTACAGAAACTGCCTCTCCGTTAACCCTTATTATATATTCTTGGCAGGACTAGACTTCCTGTCTCAGGAATGTCTCTGGAGTTTTTTCCCCCTCCTTTGCTGGTACTTTGCTTGTGTAGAGCGACCACTCAAAGTTACAATGGCACTGAAAAAAGTGACTTATGACCATTTTTCACACGTACGACTGTTGCAGCATCCCCACAGTCATGAGAGGACAGGCGAGGAGATGCGTACCTCGATGTGAGTGATGTTGAGTTGGCCACACCCAGCCAGTCACATGACCACCAAGCCATGACCACCAACTAAGCCACGCCCACAGAACCAGTTGTTAAAAAATTTGAATCCCACCCCTGGTACACATCCCCAGTCCTATGTAAACTTGCTAGATCATAGTGTTTAATATGATGGGAGAACACAATGCTAGTAAAATGAGATAAATCATATAAACTGAAATGAATGAAACTGACATTGATTTGTTGTAATTCCACATATTTCTTCAAAGGCCAAGTGACACTTTTGCCCTGGATAGGTGCTTGTGAAGAGGAATGGTGAATTATGCAACTCATCTCTTTTCAAATCAGCAAACATTAATCTTTCACAGTACTCAAATAATCACACAAAGAATGTCATATTTAATGTCATTTTCTTAAACAAACGCAGAGGGTTTGTGTATGGGTATGGTACCCATTTTGTGTACCATATTTGAGAGCAATGATATCTTCATAATGAAAGAAGAAACAGTGGAGAAATGAAGCTTTATTTACATTTGGGAGTTAATGTTTTGATTTGGGGAGTGCTGGCATTTATGCACTATTTTATGTAAGCGGTTGAAATAAATGTGAGACTATAAAGAGCCACAAAGGAGATTGTGGAATTGATGTTTTGCCTTTGGTTGTAAAAGTACATAACTGGTAGAATAACCCACTGAGTGTTAATTGTAAGAAAGTGTATTTACTATAGAATGAGTTACCAACAAATAAGAAGCATGAAACCAATATGAAAATGGTTTATTTACAATATATTGATGACTAATCAAAAGGATGGAAAAACTGGTTAGTTATGTGGAATAAAAATGTATCAATACAATTTGTTGTAAGTCTTGTATTACTGCATGCAGGATTTTTTCAGTGTAAGGAAAAGGGCATTATAATAGCTAACTAATTTTATTGATTGATTGATTATATATTCATAATCAGTTTTATATCACTGCCCATCTCAAATACTTGATCCTAGGTAATGATGTTTGTTTCCTCACAGTATTCAGTATAAGGATCATATGCACATAAATACAATTCTACAAATGTTCCATCTAAATGGGCCCAGTCTATCTACTTAAACAGAAGTTTAGCTGGCACCCAAAGTCTTTTTCAACAGTAGTCAGGGATATTTGATATCAGAAGTTTTTGCTCATTCTTTTGGTCTCTTCACATTTCCTAGGCCAGCTTCTTGATTTTAGGTTTTCAATCTGTGTTACATGTTATTCTATCCTAAGGTATTTCATCTACTAACATTAGTATTGATATTTGCCTTGTAATAAATATAAAAAATCATAACCTTCTTTGAATTCACTACAAGAATATCATCCTTGATATGTTCCAGTGTTAAAACTAAGTAAGCTGTATGTTATTTTAGCAAGATTACTTGAGTAACTAATCTGAAGCAATGCTTTGATACTAATTTACTGTTAAACAGGATTATGCTAAATGTTAGGATCTGATCATTATATTCAGGGCAGTCTAAGGTCTAGACTATGCATTGAAAAGATACACTGTTCACTTTTTTAACCTTCCTTTGTAACAGAATTTGTTCTTTAATGATATATTTTATGTTATCCTAAAGTTCAAAGCAAAAATAAAGCTGAAGACTTGAACATTGTTATAAGATTCCTAAATACTGCAGGAATGGGCAAAGATTAGAATAGATCGTTAAGGTTTAGATAAGATGGATTTTTTTCCTGGTGAGACCTCAACAGAGAATTGGTTGTGGCGAGGA